GGCGATGATCAGTCCTCTGCTATGCCGTGGCGTCATACTAACAACAACCACACTTCGTCCCTTGAGGATCGCATCACACACCCCTCGCCTGATAAACGACCCAGTATGGACGAACCTCTGCCTAAATCCAGTAAGTTCCAGAAGCAGCTGGAGAAACGCCAGCGCCGATGGGGTAACTATCAGTCGGCGCCACGATCCCCCACGCCTCCGCCGTCAACGGGTCCCGTGATCGGTACCTGTGAGGTTCTCGAGAAGAGATACCTGAGGTTGACGTCTGCCCCCATCCCGTCCCTGGTACGACCCGAGCCCGTGCTTCATAAAACTTTGGATTTATTGAAGAAGAAGTGGCGGAAGGAGAGCAACTATTCCTACATTTGCGACCAACTAAAATCCGTACGCCAAGACCTGACCGTGCAGCGGATTAAGAATGACTTCACTGTAACGGTCTACGAATTGCACGCCCGCATTGCCTTGGAAAAGGGGGACCTCGGTGAGTATAATCAGTGTCAGACCCAGCTGCGCACTTTGTATGCGCTGGGTCTGCAGGGGAACCCCATCGAATTCAAGGCATACCGTATCCTCTACTTTATCCATACCGCCAACCGCACCGGACTGAATGATGCGATGGCAGATCTAACCACAGCAGAGAAGGAGAAGGGCCCTATTAAACATGCACTGAGTGTTCGCTCAGCGCTAGCCCTGGGTAACTACCACAAATTTTTCCAGTTGTATCTCGACACCCCCAACATGGGCGCTTATCTCATGGACATGTTTGTCGTACGAGAGCGTCTCGCAGCTTTGTGCAACATTTGCAAAGCGTAGGTTCTTGCTCCATCCCCTGCTCGCCAGAAATTTTCTGCTGACACACTCATAGTTACAAACCAGACGTAAAGTTACGATTCATCACTGAGGAACTCGGTTTCGAGTCCGATCACGACGCTGCTCAGTTCATTGTTGACTACAATGGTCAAAATCTTCTTGAAGAGCGGCAAGATTCCATCTCCCTCATGACCGGCAAGGCTGGCCCGCTATTCGAGACGGCTCGAAGCGCGGCCTTCCGCACCGTCGATATCAAGGGACAGATTTAAGGACACCCGTAATTCGCTGGCTGCATATGATATTCCACGTTTGCAGCCATGTAGCACATCTTTTCGCAGCCGCGTACGATGAGCGCATTGTCAGCCCATGATCATGGCTGCAGCAATGGCCACACGATTCCATACACGTAGCCAATCTCGTCCCTTTCTTTTCTTCTTTTCACCTCCTATCCTCTTAACGACATACCTGGTCACGACACGACCGATTCCGCTACGAAAATCGGACAGGCTTGTCTAGCCAGGCAGGCTAATGGTGTTCACTGCACGCGGTCAAAACGCTTGCCTCGTCACGATGCGGTGCGCATGTGTGCCTCATATGGCTGTAGTCTCTCTCAAGAGCAGACCCGTGCAGCGTCATCGTGTCCTTGCAAGCACCTTGAGGGTGGCTTTTTATCGGACTCTTCTCCATGGCTCGATTTGCCACTTGATACCCTTTGATATTTATTCTTTACTTACGCGGCCATCGGGGGCACTTTGGTTTTCACATGAGACGGGTGCTGCCGGACGGTGTTCATTGTTTGAGACGAGCAGCGCATGACGAGTAAGAGAGGAGCCCATATTTATGGTAGTACTAGACACCATGTGCTGAAAAGGAGTCCGAGACAACAAACTTGGCTTGCTTTTGCAAAGCGAGCCAAGTTTGCAAAGCAAGCCAAGTTGGCTGTCCGGCGTTGGATGAACAAAAGAAGAAGTTTGTTTTACCTTAAGGCTGTGCCTCTTCAGCCCCCTCACAATGCACGTGTGAACCCGAGCGGCGTATGACACGGGATCGCCCGCGTCCTAGTCAGACTTGTTTGTGAAGGCATTGATGAGCCCGCTTGGAACTCTCGGACTGAAACCGGCATGCGGCCGAGCCGGGCACGAGCCCCGGGGCACATCCGGGGGGAGGCGGAGATGGACGGGCCTCCACAAGAAATCAATTAACCTGAAGCATCTGATGGATGAGACGAATGAATTGGAATTGGAACGGGGCGCAGCAAGCCCCGTGCTCCAGCAAATCGCACACGGCGTTTCTTTCTAGAAGATCTGTTCGAAGGACGAGGGCGTCGTCATCGGGGAGGTTGTGACGTGTGTGCGTGCAGCTCCTTGGTTATGTAGTGCGATACATTCACTGATGTGCTACTTCTTGATCAACGGCTCAATGAGGAGAACTGGTAGGATGGCGCAAACGTCAAACACGAACCGCGCGCCAGCCCGGCGGCAGCGTGCAGGCGGCCTACCAAATCGCTGAGCCATGGCACAGCCCGCCACGCTCCGAGAGGTGCAACATGACGATAAATGTCTTGCCTGCCTGTCCACGTACAGGTAGAGAGACAAGGCTCCACGTCAAGGCGAGACAGCACAGGAGCCCAGTCGCAGCATGACATGGAGGCCCAAAAAAAAAAGTGGCATCGAGGCTTCCGATAGATGGGTAGCGGGCAGGCCACCCCCGTCAGGGTAATTCGTGATTCATGCCAGCCGCAGATGGGTCACTTGATGTTGGGGTAATCTGGGTTCTGTGGTGGTACGAGCGCCCTTGCGTCGCGTGTGTGCTGCTACGCGCGTTGCCCATATTATCGATAAGATGCCGCCGCTGTCTCTGGCTCGTACATTCCGAGCAAAACTACCCCTCCCTCGATCGACCCCTCAGGTATATCGATTCGATCGAGGCTCACGCAATAGGGACCGAGAGCCATGCGGGATGTTCTTGTGCAAGGGAAAGCAACGACTGTCGATGCAGAACCGGACGCGAGCCAAACGAAGGCATGGGCCGGTAGGCAGTCGGTTCAGCTGGGCTGACAACGGAGGGTAGAAGTCGGCATTCGAAGCGTTTGGGCCACACGCTGAGCTGATCGGTGCGTTTGAGGGGGAGGGGCTCAAAGGCCGTGGGCGTGGTTGGAGCTGGCTAGTTGTTTCTGTTGGCATGCTGTATGGTAGTGATCATAAGATCTGGGCGCTCGGTCTGCTCTTGCGCTGTCATGACGGCATGGAATTGCCCAGCCAGTCAGTAGGAGAATGGCAGTCAAGGAATCAAACAGGCGACGGAGGCACG